CTCATACATACACTCTTCTTGGAAGTAGGGCAGTCACGCTTTCATGGTGCATTTGCCTTCTCCCTGACCCATCATGGATGCTAGAATGAAAACTGTACCTGATTCAAAACAGTGCGTTAGTTAACCACTTCAGACAAGTGAAAGATGCATACTTATGGTGGCTTTTGGATCTTTACTGTTTGTGCTCCACCTAATGGGGGGAAATAAGAATAACTTACCTGTCTAGATCACTTTGGGTCTGACCCAAAGCCCACTAGAGTCTATAGAAATACTTCAGTTGATCTCAATTAGTTTTGGATTGGATCTATTGGAAGAACCAATTCTACTGGGATAGTAGAATGTAGGCACATATTAGCTCTCAGATGGCTCCTAATAATATTTTTACATACTGAATATAGAATCCATTATAAACATAATCTAATAATCAATCTTGGGTATTAGATTTAAGTTCCTGAAGGGGATTGTGGATCAGACTAGGGATTTAGGGAGTGCATATATGCTGATCAGAGATTGAGGTCAGAACTAAAATCACTTGTAGAACATTACCATACAGGGAGGGAAATACATGGCAGTGGGAACCCCTAATGGATTATAGCATTTTTGTGTGGAAACAAATAACTGTATACACAAGCTGGTCCTGTACCTATAGACCTTACGGTCTGGGCTGGGTAGATAAAAGCTAGGCTGGGTAGATAAAAGCTAGTTGAGAAAAAAAAAACTAGTAGAATAAAACATCTCTTATCTCTCACACCACCCTCTAACAATCAGGTGTGGAATAGAACAATCTTCTTTTTTTCATTGTGCCTTTTTCCATTAGTACACTGTACTATAAACTCAGACTTCACCTTTCTTCACAGTATTTTGTTGTAAGTGTAACTGGACAGATTATTTGAGGTATCTCTATCATTGATTACTTTTGCCTGCTTTCTTTCTACTCCAGAAGTCTCGGCTGATTTATGCCTTTGTTTTGTAATGGAACTACTTGCATAGGCATATATGTTTGCAGGCTCAGGACCTTTGTACTTTTTTTCATAGTTTCATAGTTTCTAGGGTCGGAAGGGACCTGAGAATATCATCTAGTCTGACCCCCTGCCATGGCAGGAAAGAGTACTGGGGTCAAA